GCATACTTATCCTTTTTTAACCCCATTTCTGATAACCCGGCATTTTCACAAACTCAGCCACCCTTTGGTCCACATTAGGCAGAGTTTTCGAGGCTCTACTGTATCAAATATATTTTTCTATAAGAAAATAATAAAATTCTAGATTTCATGAAAACTTAAAAAAAACTGCACATTGGAGAAATGATAAACTTAAATTTAATCAAACATTGAAGAAAGTTTCAACTGAATAATAAAAATTAGACAATATAAATATTTAATTTGAATAATATTTTATGATTTCAAAAACTGTAAAATGTAAGTTTAAAATAATATTAAAGGGATTCAATTATATGATTATCAAAATTTCACAATTTTTCATAATTTAGAAACCAAAAGGAAAAGAAATATTGTAAATGTTATTATCCATTGTCTGATAAAGATAAGCAATAGTTTTTTTTTATTATCAATGATTTAAATGACTAACTTGTGAAAGCTATCGTGACTAACATTAACTGTGATTTATTATACCAAATAATGCAACGATAAAAATGAATATAAATAAGTTGTATAACTTTTTTTATATTTTATGTTCTCATTGCTATTGAATGTAGTTAAGTTTAGCTTTTGTTTGAATACTACAATCATATTAATTGATTTTATAACATATAATGATTAAAAGAATTAGGTTCTTTGGATATCACTGAAAGGAAGTGATCAGAATGCATTTTAAAAGATCTTTTTATCATCATGATTCTTTTATTAATTTAAGATTTACTGTCAGTTTTCAAGTTTAGATAGAGACAGCAAACTTGATATTAGCAATATTGATAGGAATAATGGTTCTTATCAATATTAAGTTATTCTAAATATTAAACTGAAATATCTCTATTAAAATGTTGTCAATCTCTAAACTTGCTAATAGATATTTGCTACATATCTGATCATTTGTATAAAACATCATGTCATTATTTTTTTTTTATTAATAAGAACTATAATATCAAATTATTTTTTGTAAGTGACTAATGCACAACTGTTAGGTTGAAACAGTTATAAGTAATTTATTATATTATTCTAAACCAATAATAGCTTAGTTAGAACTATTATTAAAAGTTACCATTGATAGTACTAAAGATTACTGATAACCAAAAGTAACAAGTATATATTGCACTTTAATTCAATACGAATCAGGAATAGCATAGATAACTTGTTGGCCAAGACAAATAAGGCATTAGTCTACAATTCTAGGGAATATCAATATGGGTGAGCAACTTCAGGGATTTTTTTCTGGGGTGGTCCTGGATATATCAATTCCCATCCCTCACCACCTGGCTGCCCTCATTGTAGCCTGGCCAAACACACAATGGATGTCATTAAAAATTGCACCAATCTGCTCGATTATTTATCAAACTATATTAATAAAATAATGTAGCCTGATACTGTAAATAGTCTGGCAAATTATTTGGCAATAGTAATTGAATCAGATTGTTGTGATTATTATATTAGATGTGATTAAAAAGCTCTCTTAATGCACACAGGACAGAATTAAAAGAAAAAGATAGGAGTTTCTCTTTATTGTGAAACACTTGCATTTTTTAAACATATATTATTTTCATTGCTTTCTTTTTCAATTTTATATTCTAATTTTTTATTCATCTGTATTAATTTTTTAAAATTAATACAAATGAATTAATACATGAATTAATACATATTTTAAAATTCAATTGCTTTGAAATTTTTGTCTGATGATTTATGTAATAATACTCTAAATCAGTGTTTCTCAACCTCTAACGAATCGTTGCACCCTTCAACGTAGTATCGCCCCCTTCACTACAAAATTTCGATACCGAGGGACAAGGCTAACGACAAATTCGTACAGCATTGAATAGACTAGTTACTAGTATAATGTTATTTGTTTAATTATTGTACGATATAACGAATAAAATATCTAATTATTCTTAATATAATGTTTTACTATATCGCCCGAAAATTGTTTTTTGCCCCCCAAAATATAAATTGTTGCTAATCGCCCCCTGAACGTGGAAAAACGCCCACATGGGGGCGATATCGCCCCCGTTGAGAAACACTGCTCTAAATAATAATTAACTTTAAAAAAATTTTATTTTTGTTCTATTGTACTCCAGAATCCCATAAAACAGAATTCATGTAACTGTATTGTATGTTGGTATGTATAATTTTTTCATTTTATTTGGTATAAAACTTGAATTGCAGCAACATTTTTCTTACACTTCATATTTTCTTTATAAATACAAGTTAGCATAGTTGTTCTGAAGAGGTTAGGAGTGGGAGGTGAACAATCTCATTTTTTGCTAATTATTCCAATGTCCAATTGTCCCAAAAATTTGCAGTTTAATCAAATTTGCCTGTTTAAAAAAAGCTGAAGCTACACATATGATTTGTTTATTAACCTTTATTAAGCAAATTTTTATTGTTAGTATGTTTCTAAGCTGATTGAAGCTTTTTTAATAAAGATACTTTTCAAAAATAACAGATTTATACCCAGCTTAATTTTTTTCAAAGACAAATGTTCAGTAATAGTAAGTCTAACCAAGAGCATACCAGTATGTATACATGTAACACATCAACAATCTGAAGTTCTGAGTTTACCTTTCAAATGATTAAATTAATCATTTGAAAGAATATTCCAGAACTTCAGATTATTAAATGTCAAATAATAAATTGAATAAATGTCAAAAAATAAAAATGAATAATTATAAAAAATTATTTATTGACATTCCACTTTATTTCATTTTTTAGCCATTTCTCTTAAACCAAGAATGTCTACCAAGTTTTTTTAACATGCTAGTAACATGAGTGTGCTTAGTCTTAAATCTGTCATTGTTGATCTTAAGAAGTAATTTTTAATCTTCTTCATGTTGTTTACTATGCATTTATTATTTGTAGCAGTTACTGGAGATGGTGAAACTATCCTGCACATACAGTTTGCAAATGGCAATATTTACTTTTTCATTTCTGATGTTTTCAAAATGAAACTCATAGTTTTATGTGTAAGGAAAGGGATGTATTGGAAAGTATTTTCATCTATATATGTAATGCATAATAATCAGTGCTGACACGTTTGATCTGAGAAAGAATTCCATTGATGCCTCTATAAGATCAAATGACATTCTTTGCCATTCCACAGATGGTGAAATGCAATATATATATAGACTCTATCTTGCTAGATGAAAAATCAATATTAGAATAATGAGATAGTCTAGAAATTGGTAAAATTGCAACTTGTAAAACAAATCAGAAGTCTGTTCTATTTGAATTTTGGGTTGTTTATCCAATTTTCATGGCAAAACTTATTAGTAGCGAATTGTTATAAATTTCTGATAAATTCAACAATATATCCAAAATAAATTCAGGCCAACTACAAAAATAATCAGGACGCTTCAATGATTCCATGCTCCCCTTCTATTGGTATTCCCCTGAAAGTTTGAAATACATACATATATATTGGGCTATTGATTATTTATAAATATAAACATAAGTGAAACATTGCCAAATTTAATTATTACTGTATTAAAATATGACAGTAGATGCAGGCATTACTGATGATACATAGAATACATAGAATAATAATCTAATAACAACAATAAATATTATAAAAGAGCTTCTTGTCTTGAAAATTGTTGAAGCTAATATCTCAAATACTATAGTAGAGATAACAGAGACTTATCACACTGTTACTGGTAACATCAAAATGACACTTGTATTATCAGAATGAAATTTTATTACTGATATGCATTTTGGTACACAAGACCCTCATCAGCCATACATAAAAATATATAAATATCTGTTGTAGAACAATTTTGCAGAGAAATTGACATTAACTACAATGTACAATTTAAAACATACCTGTTTAAGATTTATTTCTACCCACACTGCACAGTACTATGAGGATTATATTATAAACAGGTCTACAATATCTAAAAAGAAAATCTTTTGATAGTCCACTGTATAGCAGCAGTTGTGATTACCATTATAGTAATTGTGATTACTATATAGTGAATTATTTGTTAAGCTTATTTAAAGAAATTACTAATTTTTAAATTTTTAGAGGTATAAAATAAAATACAGTACTTAATTTTTTTTAAATATATGAATTAGGCTATATTTTGTAATGGTTATGATTATAAATGAAAAATATTTAAACCTCATATTTTCATTCCTTTCTTTTTTTTTTATTTACGAATAAAATTTATGTTTATATTAAATATCTTTATTACCCAATATTTACAACAGAATATAAAATTAAAATCAAACAAAATTAATATTTACAAAAAGTCAACTAAAACATGCTTCAATCAAACTATTGAAATAATAATAAAAAAATTTGTTTCTCAAATATTTTTGGATATTCATTATCAGGAATTCGATAAACTTAAACTAGGGCAAAAGTTCTTAATAAATATTTTTTATTTGTAATAAATAATAATATTTTTAACAGTGATATTACTCACTGTTACAATTTGGTAATAAAATACCTATGTATATTTAAACTTATTTTTTTATAGAACAGAACAAATTCCACTGTTCAGCATAACTAAATAAACTACAAAAAAAATTCTAAAAATGCCTTTAAGATGTGTAAACATGTAACATTTGTATGGTATTTTTATATTAAATGTGTATTTCTCATAATTTTTAAATTTTATTTACCAAAGCTAATGAGAAATTATCAAAGTATAAAATTGTATTATGATTTGTTGTATCATTAATTCTTACAAGCTATTGGTTTGATTTCAAATACTAACCATTTCTAAGATATCTCTTTTGATTTTTTTTTAATCATATAAGATAAGTTTATTATCATATATGATAATATAAGTAATATTATCATATAAGATAATATTAAGTGCTTTTTGTTTAAATAAAAACCAAATCTTTGACATTTCAATTAACATTTAAATAAAGTCTTTCTTAAATTTGTTTAATTTTTAGAATCTGTTATAAATTGTTAGATCAATTTTTAGTCATTTTATTTTTATTTATAGCAACCCATTCTTGCATGTCAAGAAGGAAAATTTAAAAAATTTTTGCAAGAAAATTGTCCTATACTGCAACAAAGATATTGGCCAACTCTTTGGTGCTTTGGTACACACGCTCAAACAGCATTAGCAAATTTTTTACGTGGATGGCTTCCTGACTTACCTTACCATCGGTGAGAAAGATTATGATTTTTATCTATTTTATTAAAATATATTAGTTAATTTTTAAATTATATAAATTAAAATGGTTTATGTTTGGATATATAACTATGCATGATCTAATTAATAAATTTGATCTAAACTATTTTCTATATATTAAAATTGAATTTCTACAGAAAAGCAAATCATAAATTCATTATATAAAGGTTATGATTATATAATAGAATATTTTTTAATACACTCTTAATTTTCTTTCTTAACCATCTAGAAATATTCATCTTTTATGTCTTTTAAAGATATTGAAATATAAAATACATATTTAAAGCATATATTTTTTATAAATTACAAATAATATATTATTTGTGAAGAGGTATGAAAGCTTTTTTTTTTTAAATGGAATAAAATAATTCATTCATAGTTATGCATATAAAAGGACTGAAAAATTGAATACAGTAGAGCATCGATTATCCGACCCCCGATCAACCGTCACCTCGGTTAACCGACCACGTTCTAGTCGACAAATTCAAATGTCCGCTAGTGATGTGGCGCTACAATATTTGGCTATGTCTTGGCTACTTTAATAGTATTTTTACGTGTTTTAGCTGGCAATACTGGATCGACCATGAAAGGGAGCCAGTATTTAAACAAGGCTTAATTTTCTAATTTTTAACAATACAATAGTGACGATTATTATTTTAAAAAAAAATTTGATAGGCTTAACATGGAGGAAAATTCAGTGCGAAGTAGGTTAATAGCGATATACTAATTACATGGGATATAATAATATACTACACTAATAATGGATTTTTTCATACTTTTCGGTTATCCGACTTTTCAATTATCCGACCAACCCCAGTCACCAATTGAATCGGATAATTGATGCTCTACTGTACTACTATTCGAAATATGATGTCAATATGCCAGTTTTTAAAATATGTAAATTGGTTATATACAGTCGAGTCTGCATAAGTTGTCATAGGTATAATTAGACACGTTTGGTTAAGTAGTCAGTTTTCATGGTCCCAACCAACTTACATAGGCATTAATGTTAAAAAAAATTCTCGCTTACTCGACACTGTTTAACTCATCACCACAGGATAAATCGACATACTTTTTCTGTTCCATACTCGTTTAAATGTCTGATAAGTTGACTCCCCTCCTGAAAAAAAAAGAGCTCACATCACATAGCTTAACATCATAGCAGAATCCGATTTTGCATTTTCTCACCTTTTATTCATCCATTATTTGCAGCAAGTGTTTCACATTTCTGTTAGAAATGAATATCCGAAACTTAACAATGCTTACGCTGAAAGAAAAATATGAACATGTATCTGAATTTGAATGTAATAAAACTTTGCAAGTCAAATTTGCAAATCAAGAAAACTTTCCAGAACAACTTTGGTGGGACTTCTGAAGAAAAAAGAGGAAATTAAGAAACTTTTTCTTGGGTCTTTGTCTTGACTGACTCAAACGCCAGAGAAAGTCGCCATACAAAGATGTCAAAGATGTTCTGGTATGTTGGCTAAAACAAATTCATTCATCAAATCTTCCTGTTTCAGGACCGATACTGAAACAAAAAGCGGTGGAAATCGCTGAGGTACTTGGAGTAGAAGCCAACTTTAGTGCCAGTGATGGATGGTCAGAGAGATACATTGCATGTACTGTATAAAGCACATACAGTACTAAGTACATAAAGCACAAACAGTATAAAGCACAAAACTACAATTAGGAAAATACGTGTACTGTATTTTCCTAATTGTAGTTTTGTGGGTTTTTTTCAACTATATTTTAGTTGTCATATTGGATAACTTGACACATTTCCACTTCCCCTTGGGGTGTTGACTTATGTGGACTCAACTGTATGTATATTTTTGAATTACTGTAATGTTTAACATTGTTCTGATTTCTTAATTTTATTATTTAGAGAACTAATCAAATTACCTGATGGGGGAATTGTGTCACTTGATTGGTTAGAAAGTTATGTGAATCATGGAAATAGTGGAAATCAACCAGTTGCACTTTTTCTACCAGGATTAACTGGTCACAGTCAAACAGAATATGTTAAAAGTCTTGTACCTGTTGCACAAAAACTGGGCTGCAAGTAAGTTTGGTTTAGCATAACTGAAAATAAACAAAGTTTTATGTTTTTTGAAAGTAAATTATATTATATATTTCTTTTTCTATATAAATATTAATTCAATTTAATTGAATTCAAAGTTAAAATTAATTCAATAAAAAGAAATATTTGATAATGATACTAAGTATATTCTTAATATAATAATAGTAAAAATCATTTAAGTTTAATGCATTATTGTCAGCCATAATTAATTTGGATGATTATTGGAACTTTCAGATTGTTTCTATTTATTAACTGCTCATTCTATTAACAAGAAAATATGTATATTGTAATAATGATGAAACAATTTTTTGCTTAATATTTTAAATTTAATATTAAACTTATATGATTGAACTATTAGTTAATTTAGTTATTATTGGTAATAAAAATCTTCATAAGACATATAAAACGAAATGTTTTTCCTTGTATTCTTGGAAAATCTAAGAGATATAAAAAATATGTAAATACAAAGAAAAATAACACTTCTGAAAGATATTTATCTTTCAGAAGTGTTGTTTGGAATATTTAAGAAGTAAATCAGTTCATTCAAAATAAAATTTATATTTAATGTAAAAAAAAATCTTTTAGTTATGATAAATAATCTAAAAGAGTGTAACAAAACAAACATTCTTCTGTTTTGTTATCCATGTGTGGTGTGACACTGCTTGCAACTGTTGTGATGGCATGTGAGGACGAATGACACAAGCGCAATGCCATTTTTATTAATTACCTGTAATTATGGAAGCAAAGGGATTTAAATTGTTTGCTCCAATATTGATTTTTAGGAAAATGGGTTTCCTTTTGGAGATTTAATGAAAAAAAAAAAAAAGAGGCTTGGATTTTTTGGGAAGGATGTATTTTGAAAAAAAAGAACCTAATTTTGAGGTATTAAAATTTAGTATAATTACCCAAAATTGATAACAATTTTGGGTAATTATATCTATTTACGTGTTAAACCTACTGGAAAATTTGTCAAAATGAGTCAGAAAATAAATGTTAAAAGACTGTTTAATTTTACCATATTTACTCACATATATTTACAACTTACACTAGTAATGAACTCTAATAATGACTCTAGTAATGAAGTGGCATGGAAGACGATAAAAACTTATGTATGTTTTTATAATTTTGATTCAGTAAGATTTGCAGAATAATTATGTATTTATGATAAAAATTATAAAAATTGTGGTGATATAAAAGATGCAGATTTGCTATTGATGTATAAAATGTGCTATTGTGTATAAAAGTTGGAGTAAAATTTAATTATTATTCTGATAGTTATACAACATAATTAATTATATCNTTAACAAGGCTTAATTTTCTAATTTTTAACAATACAATAGTGACGATTATTATTTTAAAAAAAAATTTGATAGGCTTAACATGGAGGAAAATTCAGTGCGAAGTAGGTTAATAGCGATATACTAATTACATGGGATATAATAATATACTACACTAATAATGGATTTTTTCATACTTTTCGGTTATCCGACTTTTCAATTATCCGACCAACCCCAGTCACCAATTGAATCGGATAATTGATGCTCTACTGTACTACTATTCGAAATATGATGTCAATATGCCAGTTTTTAAAATATGTAAATTGGTTATATACAGTCGAGTCTGCATAAGTTGTCATAGGTATAATTAGACACGTTTGGTTAAGTAGTCAGTTTTCATGGTCCCAACCAACTTACATAGGCATTAATGTTAAAAAAAATTCTCGCTTACTCGACACTGTTTAACTCATCACCACAGGATAAATCGACATACTTTTTCTGTTCCATACTCGTTTAAATGTCTGATAAGTTGACTCCCCTCCTGAAAAAAAAAGAGCTCACATCACATAGCTTAACATCATAGCAGAATCCGATTTTGCATTTTCTCACCTTTTATTCATCCATTATTTGCAGCAAGTGTTTCACATTTCTGTTAGAAATGAATATCCGAAACTTAACAATGCTTACGCTGAAAGAAAAATATGAACATGTATCTGAATTTGAATGTAATAAAACTTTGCAAGTCAAATTTGCAAATCAAGAAAACTTTCCAGAACAACTTTGGTGGGACTTCTGAAGAAAAAAGAGGAAATTAAGAAACTTTTTCTTGGGTCTTTGTCTTGACTGACTCAAACGCCAGAGAAAGTCGCCATACAAAGATGTCAAAGATGTTCTGGTATGTTGGCTAAAACAAATTCATTCATCAAATCTTCCTGTTTCAGGACCGATACTGAAACAAAAAGCGGTGGAAATCGCTGAGGTACTTGGAGTAGAAGCCAACTTTAGTGCCAGTGATGGATGGTCAGAGAGATACATTGCATGTACTGTATAAAGCACATACAGTACTAAGTACATAAAGCACAAACAGTATAAAGCACAAAACTACAATTAGGAAAATACGTGTACTGTATTTTCCTAATTGTAGTTTTGTGGGTTTTTTTCAACTATATTTTAGTTGTCATATTGGATAACTTGACACATTTCCACTTCCCCTTGGGGTGTTGACTTATGTGGACTCAACTGTATGTATATTTTTGAATTACTGTAATGTTTAACATTGTTCTGATTTCTTAATTTTATTATTTAGAGAACTAATCAAATTACCTGATGGGGGAATTGTGTCACTTGATTGGTTAGAAAGTTATGTGAATCATGGAAATAGTGGAAATCAACCAGTTGCACTTTTTCTACCAGGATTAACTGGTCACAGTCAAACAGAATATGTTAAAAGTCTTGTACCTGTTGCACAAAAACTGGGCTGCAAGTAAGTTTGGTTTAGCATAACTGAAAATAAACAAAGTTTTATGTTTTTTGAAAGTAAATTATCAAAGCTAATGAGAAATTATCAAAGTATAAAATTGTATTATGATTTGTTGTATCATTAATTCTTACAAGCTATTGGTTTGATTTCAAATACTAACCATTTCTAAGATATCTCTTTTGATTTTTTTTTAATCATATAAGATAAGTTTATTATCATATATGATAATATAAGTAATATTATCATATAAGATAATATTAAGTGCTTTTTGTTTAAATAAAAACCAAATCTTTGACATTTCAATTAACATTTAAATAAAGTCTTTCTTAAATTTGTTTAATTTTTAGAATCTGTTATAAATTGTTAGATCAATTTTTAGTCATTTTATTTTTATTTATAGCAACCCATTCTTGCATGTCAAGAAGGAAAATTTAAAAAATTTTTGCAAGAAAATTGTCCTATACTGCAACAAAGATATTGGCCAACTCTTTGGTGCTTTGGTACACACGCTCAAACAGCATTAGCAAATTTTTTACGTGGATGGCTTCCTGACTTACCTTACCATCGGTGAGAAAGATTATGATTTTTATCTATTTTATTAAAATATATTANAATGAGTAAGCAAATAATGCTATAATTTAAAACAAATTATTTTTATTAATTGCTTATTTATTATTATTATTTTTTTTAGATATTAAATAAAATTAAATCTTTTTGTCTTTTGTCCAAAACACAAAAAGAAGAGAGAACTATCATTTGTTAAATAGAATGACTAATATAGTTATTCTTCTTAAATATTTTTTATTAAGAAAATGTTTTGAAAAATTAATTTTGTATTGTAATGTTTTTATTACAATCATGTTTTTACAAATGTAAAATTAAATAGCAAAAATCTAATATTTAGTAATAATATACATAAATATTTTCCAAATTTAGTTACCAATTATTGTAATAAACAATGATTATCGTAACCAAAATTTTGCAAATTTTAATCACATATTTTGCAGTGATCACATGAAAATGTGTAAAAAATGCATTTTTGGTTAAATTTAATTAAATATTTTAGTATCTTGAGAAATGAGTAATACCTTGTATAACAATACAGAAATTATTTTAACTTTTCTTTTAATTTATACATGTGTTTTTAATTTTATTTTTTAAAGAAGTTTGTATTAAAATCTAGATCACTTTTCTCAGACAGAAATAATTTTGGTTCAGCACATCAGCAGTAATAGGTTTGTTAAAATTTAATTGTAAATGTATTTCCAAGTTTTGTTCTGACTAAAATGTTTAAAAAATGAGAAACTTGTCTCAACTTCTGCTCTGTGAGGAAGTACTTTTAATGCTGCAATTGCAGATGTACTTAACTGAGACATATTTCTAAGCTTTTGAACCAGAAATGAATGACATTTCTATCATTTGTAGATTCATTCCATGATCTTTGTACAAGATAACTTTGTAGTATGCAATTTCAATATCTGGAATTTCCTGTTATGTGCAACAGGAAGTTGCACAAAATAGTTCATCTCCTTAGGTAGTTCTGTAAATTGTGCTTGATGTGCATGCAGTGGATTTATTATAATTACGTACACATTAATAAATTATACACATCCTGAAATTTTAGTATAGATCCTGGAAATATATAAAATATTTAAAATTAAATAATTTTGTTTTAACTTTTTATCAGCAGTTTGGTAGCAAGATAAGAAATATTATCATCCTGTTTCCAATCTGATAACATAACAGTGAATATGTTCATTAACACACTAATCACCATATTGGTGGTAGATTATTATTATTATTCATTGTCTAACAAGTTATAGTTTGTGAAAAATAAAAAAAATTTGACCCAAATAGATTCACAAAAAGTAAAAATGACTAAATTTTTAATACTGTTATTATACAACACTGGTTTTAGTATTCTCTGCTAATATAAAAATATATGAGAGATTATTTATTTTTATATAAATCCTTAAAAGACTCTACCTTATTTTTGTAATTTTTTTTCTTACCATTACTGACTCAATTTTTTAAATAACTTTTTCAGTTTTATTTGATTTCTTGAATTTATATTACTTTTAAGAATAAATACATTTAATAATATCAAATTTACACCATCTGTTTTAACAGATGATGTAAATTTGATATCTATTTTAACTTTTTCATTATATACACATTTTTAAAATGTGAGTTATTGATATTTTGTATTTTTTTTAGATGTGTTGTTTTTAATAATCGTGGCAGAGGAGGAGTTGCCTTATTGGTGAGTGGTTATTTAATAAATCAAAATTGATTTTTTGAAACACTTTTTTTTTTAATGTGATATTAAATTATTTTATTCTAAATTATATCTCATTTTTATTGAATCATGAAATTATATCTTCCTTTCAAGAATACTTTATTAAAAATACTTATTTTTTTATCATAATCTGTGTATTAATTTTTTAATGTAAAAATATACCAGAATTGTAAAGTAAGAATTTAATTATAATGAACTTTATTTAAAAATTCATTATTTTTTTATTAGATTTTATTAGTCATAAAATGTAAAAGTTGAATATATGTAACTGGTGAGATATTTAATATTTTCTTAGAAATATAGTGACTAATTACTTTAATAAATTATGATTGATCTCTTATATAATTTGTAATGAGTAAGCAAATAATGCTATAATTTAAAACAAATTATTTTTATTAATTGCTTATTTATTATTATTATTTTTTTTAGATATTAAATAAAATTAAATCTTTTTGTCTTTTGTCCAAAACACAAAAAGAAGAGAGAACTATCATTTGTTAAATAGAATGACTAATATAGTTATTCTTCTTAAATATTTTTTATTAAGAAAATGTTTTGAAAAATTAATTTTGTATTGTAATGTTTTTATTACAATCATGTTTTTACAAATGTAAAATTAAATAGCAAAAATCTAATATTTAGTAATAATATACATAAATATTTTCCAAATTTAGTTACCAATTATTGTAATAAACAATGATTATCGTAACCAAAATTTTGCAAATTTTAATCACATATTTTGCAGTGATCACATGAAAATGTGTAAAAAATGCATTTTTGGTTAAATTTAATTAAATATTTTAGTATCTTGAGAAATGAGTAATACCTTGTATAACAATACAGAAATTATTTTAACTTTTCTTTTAATTTATACATGTGTTTTTAATTTTATTTTTTAAAGAAGTTTGTATTAAAATCTAGATCACTTTTCTCAGACAGAAATAATTTTGGTTCAGCACATCAGCAGTAATAGGTTTGTTAAAATTTAATTGTAAATGTATTTCCAAGTTTTGTTCTGACTAAAATGTTTAAAAAATGAGAAACTTGTCTCAACTTCTGCTCTGTGAGGAAGTACTTTTAATGCTGCAATTGCAGATGTACTTAACTGAGACATATTTCTAAGCTTTTGAACCAGAAATGAATGACATTTCTATCATTTGTAGATTCATTCCATGATCTTTGTACAAGATAACTTTGTAGTATGCAATTTCAATATCTGGAATTTCCTGTTATGTGCAACAGGAAGTTGCACAAAATAGTTCATCTCCTTAGGTAGTTCTGTAAATTGTGCTTGATGTGCATGCAGTGGATTTATTATAATTACGTACACATTAATAAATTATACACATCCTGAAATTTTAGTATAGATCCTGGAAATATATAAAATATTTAAAATAAATTAACACTGAAATTTAAATTTTGTGGTAGTGACATGAGAGAATAATGTTCTGGTCATTATTTTTTCTCTCCATAATAATGCAAACTGGAAGAGAGAATTTTTTGTTTTAAAATAATCATTGATGTTCAATTTTATTCATTAGAACATTTTAGCAAATCAATATTTCATAATAAAATCAAATTAATGTGAATAGATATGCAAAATTTAAAAGCATTTTTGTATTTATAAATTTTATGCAAAGAAACAATTTGCTAGATTATATTGGACTATAATATTGCTATTTTTTAATAATTAACTATTCAGTAATTTTGCCTGGTTGTAAGTATTGGAATCCATCTCTTGATAAATTTAATAATTATTGTTTAATTTTTAATTTAGAAAGTTGTGGAAGAGAAGACTTTGCCTGGAGCAGGACTTGAAAACACAACTTTTGCATACTCTGTGGATGCATTGTCAGTTATGCTACTTGGACTGCCATCCAATTGTTGCCTCCAGAACTATTAATAATTTAGATATAACCATACTGGTTACTCACAGCACTGACTGGGTAAAGTGATAGCTGGTTGATGTCTATTTAATAAATTCTCATGGCATCATGAGGACCTATTAAGTAGGCATCAACCAGCTATCACTTTAAACCTAGTTATAACCATTCACAGTTACTTATGACGAATGGTTATATCTAAGTTTAAATATGTTTGGAAGCAAAGAATTGCTCAGAGGTCCAGGTGGCATAACTGGCAGCACACTGCATGGTAAGTGGAGATTGTGGATTCAAATCCCACTCTGGGCTAGTTCAGACTGTTCTAAATTATTTAATAAGTTATTATTATAATTATTAACTTAGTTAAGAGATAGTGTCTAACATTTACCTCTAATACCAAATTACTTACTATCTAGTTATAATAATGATAAAAATTTAAGTGAAAATACAGAGAAATTATAATTGAATCAGTCACCTTTATCNCAATCATGTTTTTACAAATGTAAAATTAAATAGCAAAAATCTAATATTTAGTAATAATATACATAAATATTTTCCAAATTTAGTTACCAATTATTGTAATAAACAATGATTATCGTAACCAAAATTTTGCAAATTTTAATCACATATTTTGCAGTGATCACATGAAAATGTGTAAAAAATGCATTTTTGGTTAAATTTAATTAAATATTTTAGTATCTTGAGAAATGAGTAATACCTTGTATAACAATACAGAAATTATTTTAACTTTTCTTTTAATTTATACATGTGTTTTTAATTTTATTTTTTAAAGAAGTTTGTATTAAAATCTAGATCACTTTTCTCAGACAGAAATAATTTTGGTTCAGCACATCAGCAGTAATAGGTTTGTTAAAATTTAATTGTAAATGTATTTCCAAGTTTTGTTCTGACTAAAATGTTTAAAAAATGAGAAACTTGTCTCAACTTCTGCTCTGTGAGGAAGTACTTTTAATGCTGCAATTGCAGATGTACTTAACTGAGACATATTTCTAAGCTTTTGAACCAGAAATGAATGACATTTCTATCATTTGTAGATTCATTCCATGATCTTTGTACAAGATAACTTTGTAGTATGCAATTTCAATATCTGGAATTTCCTGTTATGTGCAACAGGAAGTTGCACAAAATAGTTCATCTCCTTAGGTAGTTCTGTAAATTGTGCTTGATGTGCATGCAGTGGATTTATTATAATTACGTACACATTAATAAATTATACACATCCTGAAATTTTAGTATAGATCCTGGAAATATATAAAATATTTAAAATAAATTAACACTGAAATTTAAATTTTGTGGTAGTGACATGAGAGAATAATGTTCTGGTCATTATTTTTTCTCTCCATAATAATGCAAACTGGAAGAGAGAATTTTTTGTTTTAAAATAATCATTGATGTTCAATTTTATTCATTAGAACATTTTAGCAAATCAATATTTCATAATAAAATCAAATTAATGTGAATAGATATGCAAAATTTAAAAGCATTTTTGTATTTATAAATTTTATGCAAAGAAACAATTTGCTAGATTATATTGGACTATAATATTGCTATTTTTTAATAATTAACTATTCAGTAATTTTGCCTGGTTGTAAGTATTGGAATCCATCTCTTGATAAATTTAATAATTATTGTTTAATTTTTAATTTAGAAAGTTGTGGAAGAGAAGACTTTGCCTGGAGCAGGACTTGAAAACACAACTTTTGCATACTCTGTGGATGCATTGTCAGTTATGCTACTTGGACTGCCATCCAATTGTTGCCTCCAGAACTATTAATAATTTAGATATAACCATACTGGTTACTCACAGCACTGACTGGGTAAAGTGATAGCTGGTTGATGTCTATTTAATAAATTCTCATGGCATCATGAGGACCTATTAAGTAGGCATCAACCAGCTATCACTTTAAACCTAGTTATAACCATTCACAGTTACTTATGACGAATGGTTATATCTAAGTTTAAATATGTTTGGAAGCAAAGAATTGCTCAGAGGTCCAGGTGGCATAACTGGCAGCACACTGCATGGTAAGTGGAGATTGTGGATTCAAATCCCACTCTGGGCTAGTTCAGACTGTTCTAAATTATTTAATAAGTTATTATTATAATTATTAACTTAGTTAAGAGATAGTGTCTAACATTTACCTCTAATACCAAATTACTTACTATCTAGTTATAATAATGATAAAAATTTAAGTGAAAATACAGAGAAATTATAATTGAATCAGTCACCTTTATCATCATAGTCATTTAATTTTATAAAGCATATTTATTTAAATATGTAAAAATATACATATTTATTTAAATATGTATATTTTTTAGTACAATAAACTATTTTAATTTTTGTAACATTAATAATTATTAAATATATCATCAGGAATTGTTGAGGAAGTCTATATTTGGTAAGTTTACTTCAAAGTAATATACACAAACTAATATCAGTGAATTACAACTTGATTCAAATTTTATTTTGATTATAAGTACAGTAGAGCGTTGATTATCCGAATCAATTGGGAACTGGGGTTGTTTGGAAAACCGATATTTCGGCTAACCTATTATGTACGAAAAACATATTAGCCTATCCCATGTTGAAATTTTTCTCCGTTGCGTGTCGCTTCGTGTTGAATTTTTGTCGATGTTAAGCCTAACATAAACTTTTCAAAATAATAATCATGACTATTGTATCATTAAAAATTATTTCTTCATTTTGTACAAACCAGGGCTGTGGAGTCGGAGTCGTGGAGTTTTGGTGTTTTAGCTGGAGTTGGAGTAGTCAAAAAATTTGCCGATTTTGACTCCCTTTTACTTACCAACTTGTTATGTGTATGAAACGGAGTCGGAGTCGGATGGTAAGGAAGAGTCGGAGTNGGAAGTCTATATTTGGTAAGTTTACTTCAAAGTAATATACACAAACTAATATCAGTGAATTACAACTTGATTCAAATTTTATTTTGATTATAAGTACAGTAGAGCGTTGATTATCCGAATCAATTGGGAACTGGGGTTGTTTGGAAAACCGATATTTCGGATAACCAATTATGTACGAAAAACATATTAGCCTATCCCATGTTGAAATTTTTCTCCGTTGGGTGTCACTTCGTGTGAATTTTTGTCGATGTTAAGCCTAACATAAACTTTTCAAAATAATAATCATGACTATTGTATCATTAAAAATTATTTCTTCATTTTGTACAAGCCAGGGCTGTGGAGTCAGAGTCGTGGAGTTTTGGTGTTTTAGCTGGAGTTGGAGTCGTCAAAAAATTTGCCGATTTTGACTCCCTTTTACTTACCAACTTGTTATGTGTATGAAACGGAGTCGGAGTCGGATGGTAAGGAAGAGTCGGAGTNGGACTTCAATGTCAAGATGACATAGTACTTTCCAATTACGTGGAAAGTGTGGTCACTGAGTATTATACTACACACAACAATTAACACCTCAATACTAATTCCAGCACTCAAAAAATTATACTGATCTAACGTTTTCGGCCGTCTTTTAGAGGTCCTCCTCAGGGTGAAACACAACAAAACAGTTCTATCTTTTGAAGTATTCTAATCATCGAATACAGCTATGTTCCAAATTTTTAAATATTTAAAAGATGTACCGTACGATATAAAAATTGTTACGTTTACAACATAAACATAATTATTTTAAAATAATGCTATACATAAATTATTATTGTAGAGTTGTGAAAAGTAGCGCGATGTAAACGATTTGTTTTACATTAATGCTATACATAAATTATTATTATAGAGTTGTGAAAATTAGCATGATGTAAACTCTTTGTTTTCTTTTATAAAGTAGAAAGATTAAAAATAATTACACATCCGATTATTGTTGTGCTTTGTGGCAATGTAAATAATATTTCCACGATTGTGGAATCGGCATATAATCGGAGTTGATGCAGTTTTCCTTCATGGTTTCTATATAAATCTCAATAGTCTCCAACGAGTGTAAGTCATGTCGGTCGAAGGCCCTATGCAAAAGAGTAGCCTCATCCCAACATGGGGGAAACCCCTGGTTCGGTAGCATACTGGGCTAGAGCGGTACTATACTTCTGCTTCGATACATCATATTTGTGATCCCGTACTCTAGCTTCCAGGGATCTGTATGTGGATCCAATGTACGTTATCCGACGATTGAAATGTTCGTCATTCAAAGGTATGCGGTACACCCCCGGCACTTTTTTTTTTTTTTTTATCATCGGACTTGTCCTTAGCATTAGATAAAAATCGGAAAATATTTTGCGTTCTCTTATATGTTAAGCGCACGTTCAACTCCTTAGCAATTTTACTAAAAATTCGTTGAAGGGATGGTTTGTAAGATAAAACCACCCGGTTGTGCTGTGCATCAATAGTCCCCTTGTTGTTGTTAGTTATTGTAGATTGCTGGTTGGTAGTTAGACTATCTATTAAGGACTGGTGATATCCGTGTGCCGATGCTATACGTTTGATGTTTTTCAGTTCTCTGTAGATATCAGAAGTTTCAGAGCAGTGCTCTGAAACTTCCGATATCTACAGAGAACTGTCCAATATCAGGAATCTGTAGATATCTACAGAGAACTGAAAAACATCAAACGTATAGCATCGGCACACGGATATCACCAGTCCTTAATAGATAGGCTAACTACCAACCAGCAATCTACAATAACTAACAACAACAAGGGGACTATTGATGCACAGCACAACCGGGTGGTTTTATCTTACAAACCATCCCTTCAACGAATTTTTAGTAAAATTGCTAAGGAGTTGAACGTGCGCTTAACATATAAGAGAACGCAAAATATTTTCCGATTTTTATCTAATGCTAAGGACAAGTCCGATGATTAAAAAAAAAAAGCGCCGGGGGTGTACCGCATACCTTTGAATGACGAACGTTTCAATCGTCGGATAACGTACATTGGATCCACATACAGATCCCTGGAAGCTAGAGTACGGGATCACAAATATGATGTATCGAAGCAGAAGTATAGTACCGCTCTAGCCCAGTATGCTACCGAACCAGGGGTTTCCCCCATGTTGGGATGAGGCTACTCTTTTGCATAGGGCCTTCGACCGACATGACTTACACTCGTTGGAGACTATTGAGATTTATATAGAAACCATGAAGGAAAACTGCATCAACTCCGATTATATGCCGATTCCACAATCGTGGAAATATTATTTACACTGCCACAAAGCACAACAATAATCGGATGTGTAATTATTTTTAATCTTTCTACTTTATAAAAGAAAACAAAGAGTTTACATCATGCTAATTTTCACAACTCTATAATAATAATTTATGTATAGCATTAATGTAAAACAAATCGTTTACATCGCGCTACTTTTCACAACTCTACAATAATAATTTATGTATAGCATTATTTTAAAATAATTATGTTTATGTTGTAAACGTAACAATTTTTATATCGTACGGTACATCTTTTAAATATTTAAAAATTTGGAACATAGCTGTATTCGATGATTAGAATACTTCAAAAGATAGAACTGTTTTGTTGTGTTTCACCCTGAGGAGGACCTCTAAAAGACGGCCGAAAACGTTAGATCAGTATAATTTTTTGAGTGCTGGAATTAGTATTGAGGTGTTAATTGTTGTGTGTAGTATAATACTCAGTGACCACACTTTCCACATAATTGGAAAGTACTATGTCATCTTGACATTGAAGTCCTGCAAAACTACATCATATATGTAACATTATGTTCGATTTTGAGTAATTTAATTTATTTTCAAATATAGTAAGTACATTAAAATATATAATGCTAATGAAATTTTAAATGCACCCAAAACATAAAAGCAAACAAGTTTATGAATTATCCAAAATTTTGTTTTTCAAAGGACTTCTGATCTCATCAAATTTGGATAATCGAGTTGCTACTGTATGTATTAATATAAATACTTTTGTAACATATCCTCAGAAAAAAGGTTAATCCCTGAAAATCTAATAAAGTTATTGAACACAATAACTGTTTAATTTTAATATTCAAACTAATTTAAAATACATTCTATACAGTTAAGATAAATATCTTTTTTAAGTATATCTTGAATAATTTTAAAACCAAATTTTTATTTATAGTTTATTAAAACAATGCTTTTTTTTTATTTATGCCAAATAAAAATAAAATGTAGTTGGTAAAAAAGAAAAATTACTTTATATCTGATGTTTAAATGTTAAAATCATTATAATAATGAATAATAATTTAATTTCACCATTATATTTTCAGACACCAAAAACTTATTGTGCTGTCAATACTGGAGATTTACGAGAAGTTCTTAAATATATACAAAAGAAATATCCTAATAGTGCTATATTTGGTACTGGCATATCTTTAGGTGGAATTATACTTGGTCAGTATTTAGTTGAGTCAGGTGATAAAGCTGTTATCTCTGCTGCCATGTTGATATCTGTACCCTGGGATGTCCATGCTGGTGCTGCAAGCATAGAGATTCCGGGCCTCAATCTCATGTTGAATAAACATCTTGCTCGCAGTTTATGTAATATGGTGCGACCGTAAGTTATCTATTATATTTATTACTATTATTGATAAAAATACTGTTACTTTAAATTGAAAACTTTGATTCCTATGTACAAAAATAGTTTTCACATTCAAATTGAAATTTTACACTATCACAAATTTATTATTTTTTATTTTACAATTAATTTAAATATAAATAATTGTAAACTGTATCAAATTTTTACTTGTATTATATATAAAATATATTATATTTTTAAAATATCATTTTTTAAAATTGTTATAATTAGAACATGAAACTGTTTATTTTACACTTACACTAAAAACTTAATTGATTTTAAAACAGTAAATTAAAATTACAGGAAAATTTCTCAGTATATTAGTGTGAGTTTAAGTAATATGAATAACACCTATACACCCACACAATTTTATAGATACACAGGATGCAAGAAATTTTCTAAAAAGTTTTTCCTAGTTCTTGGAATACGGAAAGGTTTTAAAATATTGATCATTTGAAATTTATAAATTCAAAATACGATGATAAAAATATGCTGAATATTTATTGTATGCTAGTATCATCAAGAAAATTTTATTTCATAGTAATTACACCAACTTTCTTGGAAGTACAGTAGAAGAAAAAATGACTAATTACTAACTGCAACAAGTTGCTAAAGTTTCTTGGCAACATTTAAAAATGTGTGTGGTGCAATCTGTTATGATATTTTATTTTAAAAACTTTTAATATTTTCAATTATTATAAAATGGCAAAAAGCTTAATTTTGAGGGTTGGGACAAGTTTTATAAAATAATGAATAATATCATTATTCCTTATTAGCATTTACAGTAAGATATGCCACACAACCCCACTTTATCTCCCCACCCCATCAAGTTTTAACCACCAAAATTTAATAGCATTAATCCCCTAATACATAAACTTCCCTGCAAAATTCCAGAAATGTTCAACAAAAAGCATAGGAGTTATTAAACTTCAAAGGGCTGAACAAACTTATGCCCCTCACACATACTAACATCCATACATACAGAAAAAAAACCTTGGAATTTTTTTGCATTTCTCAATGTTTCAATGTTCTGAGTCCAAAAATGTAAAAATCTTTGGGGTCATTTTTTGACTGATCACTGTACTTTCCTTCTGTTATATATAACTGAGTCAGGAAAGTAAATGCTTATATACAAGGTAATGCAAGGCTTATCAAAGCATTTATTTTGTAATTTTTGACATTTATCATTCATATTTTTAGTATAAATGGTCAGTACTGTATCAAGGAAAAGAGCTTCTCAACACTTTAATCTAGTGTAAATCTAATTTTATCATAGAAAAAACAAATTAAGCTGTTAACTTTTATTATAAATAAATAAATGAATAATTTTATATGAAAACTAATTTGATTAGCAAAATCATTCATTACCATTTATTTATTAAAAAAATAAACAACTTTATTTATTTATTTTTTCTATGATAAATTTATACTAGACTAAAGCGTTATTCAATTGTTTTCTTTGATACTTACTATTTATACTATAAAATGTGCATGGTAAATATAAAAAGTACAAAGTGAACATTCTGACAATTGCCTCACATATAAGCATTTTTATTTTACAGCTTGGTCTTCACAATTTGAAATCAATCAAACATACAGTGTTTGAATGCTCGTGTAAACGCGCACCATCTATCATAGGATAAATGCCAGAAACCTTTGCGGGAGTGTATTAAAAAACTTCCCAAAGCTTCATGGCAATCGTACTATGCCAGAAATTTTGACAGGAGTATATTAAACAACTTCTCAAAGTTTCATGGCAAGGATAAACGGTGTAGTAATGCATGAAGGACATACAGACACACAGACAGCCAGACAGACATACATTCATTTTTATATATATAGATAATAAAAATTAAAACTCAAAAATATTAAATAGAAAATAATTTTAATACGGATAATATCCAATGACATGAATCCAAAAGTTAATTTCTTGGAACCCTAAGCTTAGTTCAGATACACATTTATTTTCAAATGGCAAACTTGATTCTTATTGTCATTTTGCAAAATGAAAACAGCAAATTAGGAAATCATATGAAAACCATAGCAAAATTGTTAAAACAAAATTATGGCTGATAACAGCAAATTTTTTAATGCTTGCTTTATTCATTTATTTATCAGAGAGAAAATTTCAAAATTAATTGTAGTAATTGTTAGAAAATAATTAGAAAGCACACACTTTTGTATCTGCTTTGTTTAAATTTCTCTCCTTATCTTCAGAAATTCATTTTTATGATCTAGTGATAAATGTTTTTCACTAGTGGAAAAGTTTATGTTAAAATGTGATTGCACTTGGTAAAACAGAAAAAATTGCCAGAAATGATGTTACTGCCAATGCAATATTTGTTCCTCTTTCTGCTTTTTGCAAGTGAATTACTCTATATGAACTAAGCATAAATTTAAGACATTACAATTATTTTCTATTTAATTTTTTGGTGGATTTATTTAACATTTATTACTATTTGAAAAATAAACAGAGTGAATCAATAAGATAAAACTATTTTGTCTCTCATCAGTTAATTCTTTCAAATGAAAGATGAATATCTTATATAGTAAAGACTTAAAGGATTGTAATGATTAGAACATTTAACAGAAAGTTGAAATTTTATTTTGTTCATTCAATTATTGTTTAAAAAACATTTTGAAAAGATTTATTTTATTATTGTCTTTTAACTTGAAAGTTAATAAATAATAATTTAAATTTTATACAAATGTCACTTTAATTAATATAAAAACAATTTCTACACTATAAAGTTAAAAAATGATACAAATAAATCAAAATTGTGATGATGTATTCTTTAGTTTTAATTTTAGTAGAAAAATGGCAAAAAATGATGCTATTGTCTGTAAACAAGACAAAACATTACAAAGTCAAATTAGCATTATCATTTCGAATATATATAATTATTTTTAGTCATCAAAATTCCTTTTACAGTGATGATAAAAGCAATGAATTTATACCCTATTAGGATGATAATTATCACATTGTGTCTTAATTATCAAAGTTCTCTGAAATGACATTATTATGTAGATAAGGAATAATTACTACAAATTTATCAGATTTAAGAAACAAATTCAAACAGGAATGTTTAACAAAATCAATTAAAGTGTGAATTCCTTTAATATTCCTTACTATTCATTTAAATGAGTAGTAAGGAATACTAAAGATGAGATATGAATTTGGTGGTTTTAGGAAAAATCATGAGCAGAATATATGTTGTGTATTAAAGGATTCTTTGTTTTCTAAGATGCTCTTAGTGACTTTATACAAATGAAAAACTGTGTGATGGGTTTTGTAATTGCAATTTAAAATCAGTATATAACTGTATTTCTTTTCAAATTGTGTTTTAAACACAGATAAATTTGAGTTATCCATGCAAAATCATGGTAATTATTTCTGTTTTATATTAAATAAGTAATTAAAAATTAACTTTATAATTGAAAAAAGATAAAATTCAATTTACATTTTATCATTTTTATTGAAACTTATTATTATTATT